TCAACCCAAACCTGCAGGGCTCAACCTTAAACTAACTTATTACGTGTTAGGTTTGAGTCGTGTTTTTGTATCGTGTCGAAGATTGACATCCCACCACGTCCAAGTTCGTATAATTAACTTTATTTTTTTTAACTTTTTTACTTTACATCCAGGACGGAGTTTGGGAAAGAGAAAGTGTTTAACTGGGGGAATGGAGAAAAAAGTTAAAGAATAAGGTCAATAATAAGATACTGGATGTGAGAACCATGGGATAAAAAAAACTGATTTTGTGGATTTTTAAATTTTAATTTTTTTAAATTAATTAGAAACTAATATAATATGTTTAATATTATTTTAATAAATTTTTTAATATTATTTTTTGTAAATTAGACAATACCGAAAATGTCCCTGATGAATTGACCAATAAATGGGTCAACCCGAGAATCACAAAATGTAAAGTGTAAAAAATTAAAATATTAAAAAGGACTAAATTAGTGTAAAAGACAAATACAATGGACCAATTCAGTGAATTTTAACGTAAAAGACAAAATTAAGTTTTTTGAGAAATGTAAAAAATCATATGTGCAGTTTACTCTACTTGTTATGACTATCTCTTCCTTTTTCCTTTTTTTTTTCTTTTCCTTCTTTTTCATTATTAAGGGAAAAAAAAATTCTCTTGACACTAATTAATATCACAAGTCATTAAATTTCTAATTGAAAAAATATCACAATAAGAGGCCGTAAACTGTCACAAGCAAACCCTCACACATGAATGACAAACATAGGCTTGAAATCGGGAGAACACGTTTACCCGTAACAAGTCTTATTCCCTTTTCAAATACCAAAAATTATGATCTTATCCCTTTTATAAAAAAATAAAATAAATTGTGAATAACAAATTACGTGGTAATAAATTATTATTAATTAATAATTTGAAGATGACATAAAATCTATTATAATATAATATACTAAGAGAGAAACTAGGGAGAGAAACTTAAGAGTAATTCTAAGGATGCCACATGCGCTTTTATCTTATGTGGCAAAATCTTAAAAAATGTTATAAATCAACTTGTAAAATTTATGCTATAATCCCTGAAAATTACACTTTATGACTATAAAACCCAAACGTCCCAATAAAGATGGTTCCCACGAATTAATGAGTCCAGTTTTGAATTCAAAATTATTAATTAATTAAGATTTCCATAATCCAAACATTAATTGCATATTTTTAAAATTTAAAATTTGAAATTTACTTATTTTAAAAAACACATGGCTAAATGTACTTTGTATGTGTACAAAATTATGACCAAATTCATGATTTTGTGTAACACGAATTGTGTTGTAGAGAATCAGACACAAATTCTGAATATTAATGACATTTTGAATTCCTTAATTACTATAAAGTTCCGTCATCACTATATAATGATGTATGGTCACATTAACAAACAAAAAATTATTTTGATCACCACCATCTCATCTCTTTAAATCCCCACTATATGATCACAGTATATTTTGGGTAATAGGTGATCAACTAATTACGGGATTATTTATATACAAAAGTAGAAGACTATTTCATTTTTAAATGAGGCCTAAACAAAATGTAGTACTTCCATGATTTTAAAAGTACTAAAAGACTAAATTGATCGCAAACTTTTTAGAAAATAATTCTTTTTAGAATTACTTAAATAATTTACAATAAATTAATGCAATACCCCGCACATCGTGCGGGTATAACATCTAGTATTTTAAGAAAATCGTGCAGGTATAACATCTAGTATTTTAAGAAAACCGTACAACGCACGGAAATAGTACTAGTTCATGTAATCACACATTGAAAGATGTCAAAAGTAATTTTCGACAGGAGAAGGAGACTTCCTATCTTCTCATGAGTTTTTGAGTTAAAAAATGGTTCAAAGAAAGAAGTAGAGAGAAATTAGGTCGAATTTTGGAGAAAAGAAAAATACCAAGATCGGATTTTCAAAATCCGACCTTGCCTTAAAATCGGATTTCACAAATACAGCTTTATGTTAATAACAAAAATTAAATAACTTAATCAAGATTAAAAGAAATTCGGATTTTTAAAATCCGACCTTCGTAAAAAAAAAAAAATATCCGGAAAAAAAATTAAGTTTTTTTCCCAAAAATAAAATTTTGACCAAGTTCGGATTTTCAAAATCCGATTTTACTGTTCATTTTTTTCATATTTTCAATTAAATTTTCAGATTTTTAAATTTTCCCGCCCTTCAATTTTTTTTTAAAAAAACAAGGTCGGATTTTGAAAATCCGTCCTTCCAATAATTAGTTTAGTTTTGACTAAGTTCAGATTTGCTAAATACGACATTAAACACAATTTTTTCTAGAAAAAATAGACTGGGTTTTAAAAGTAAAACTGATACTGATATCTCAAATTTATAATTCTTGCAATGCTCATACCAAATACAAGGAACATTAGGAACCCGGTGATAGAAGAAAAAATTTAGATTTCCAAAATCCCACATACTAAAATAAAATTGGAGTTTGGGAATCCGACTTTCAACGTTACTCGGATATTAAAAATCCAAATTTGTTGATTAAAATGGATTCAATAAATTCGATTTTAGGGAAAAATCGGATTTTTTTTCATTTAGGTCGGATTTTGTAAATGCGAGTTAAACCCTAAACCTTGGTATTAAAAATCCAAATTTGTTGATTAAAACGGTTTCAACAAATCCCATTTTAGGGAAAACCCAGATTTTTTAAATCCGATTTTTGATTTAGGTCAGATTTTGTAAATCCGAGTTAAACCCTAAACCGTTTAGGGTTTAACTCGGATTTACAAAATTCGACCTAAATCAAAAATCGGATTTTAGAATTCTGGATTTTCCTTTACATCAAATTTTTTGGAAATCCGATTTTTTTCCTAAAATTGGATTTGTGGAATTCAGTTGTATTAGCAAATTCGGATTTGTGAAATCCGATTTTATCGAATTTCGGATTTGTAGAATCTGATTTTCTTTATAAATTCGCTTTAACTGAAAATTCATATTTCAAATCTGATATTGTGTCAATATAATCCACAAAAATAGATATATCAATGTTAGCATTAGTACGTGTGTGGTATTTTATAGCATTAGTACATGTGTTTTGTACTGAGTAACAGAGTTAATAACACTTTCTAACACTAATACATATGTATCACTAGTACGTGTGTTATCTATTATTATTATTAGATAACAATATTAATAATAATAATCTGTAACAGTATTAATTATAATATGTATCAGTAGTATAAGTGATATCTAATGTATAACAGTATTAATAATATTATGTCATACTAGGTCAGATGATAAATAATGATTAACAATAAAAAAAATATTAATAGTAATGTGTATCAATAGTAACAATAATATGTAATAGGTAATAATGTTAATGGTAGTAATGTGTAACAGTGTTAATGATAATCTGTATTACTAGTACATGTGATGTATGATGTGTAACAATGTTAATAATAATAAGTAATACTAGTATATGTGATACTTATGTCGTAGTAGTATTAATGATACTATGTAACACTAATCTCGATAATATCTAATGACTAATAGGTTTAACAGTAATAAGTGACACTAGTACCAATGATATGTAGTGAGTAATAGTATTAATGTTCTATATAACACTAGTACGTATAAATAGTACATAACACTAGTAAGGATGAATTATAATGAGTTAATTTAATACAAATTCCTAACAGTTTTAATAGTACCACACAACATTAGTAATATATTTTTTTCATCAATATAATGCAAATTCCTAATTATTAATAATATAAGATTTTATTATTACCATCTAATACAATTTGTTTTTAATTTTTTTGAAAGTGGATAAGTCAATTTAATGTGAATTCCTATCAAAACTCAAAAAAATTTTCAATGTTCCTGCACTTAAAGATTTTTTTTTAATAAAAAGAAATTCGGATTTTCAAAATCCGATTTTACTGTTCACTTATTTTCAAATTTTCAAATTTTCCCACCCTTCAATTTTTTTAATAAAAAAAAATAAGGTCGGATTTTGACAATCCGACCTTGCAATGTTCATTATTTGACCACAAAAAATATATATTATTTTTCACATGTATTTTCCGGAAAAAAATATATTATTTTATTAGGTCAGATTTTCAAAATCTATTTTACTAATTTAATTAGTAGTTCGGATTTTGTAAATCCGATCTCCATATTTTGCTTTACGAAAAAAAAATAGATCTCTCTACTCCTTTTTAAAGCAATTTTTTAACCAAAGCACCCATCTTTTCATTATCCTCATACTCTGCCTCGTTTAATTCGAAAACACAAAAAGTAATATGTTATTTATTTGGGTGGAGGATAATACAAAGTGGTCGATTGTAATTTTAACATTGGCTAGTAAATATTCCCTTTTCCTAGAAAAATAATACACTAACAGGTAGTACGAGAGTAGCATAAGACTATAAGAGTAATTAAATACTCCTTCCATTCTAAAATAGATGTCGTTGAGGGAGTTGCACAAAATTTAAGAACACAATAAATACTTGGTTAAAATACTAATATACCCTCATATTACTTTCAATGGAATCCTATTTCCAATATTATTTAGTTCTAATATACTTCTATTTTAAACATAATAACAATTTCCCATGTAGGGGTAATATTGGAAGAAATTGACAAAACATGCCTCGAAATGCAAAAACGACATATATTTTAAAAAAATGAGTTTTCCTCCAACGACATCTATTTTGGAATGGAGGTAGTAGTAATTATACTGACACTAATATTCTCTTTGTCCCAGCATATTGAATTTTCATGTCTGTACTAAAATCTCAAAACTCATGACATACTTTTTTAGGATAGAATAGGAATTTTAATTATTAACATTGACAGTTTTTGTGGGACAAAATGAGTATGAGATTAATGATATACTTAACATTATCAATCTGCTCTATTTCTATGTGTCAAAGTTACATTGAACTCCCATCTCAAAACCAATTGGCAATTTGAGTGAGATAATACAATCATCCTTGCAGCTCCAACAAAAATTCAGATCACCGCTACCATTTTAAGAAAATTGTAACTTTTGAAACTGAACTACTTTGTTAGGACAGAGGGAGTCAAGACTTATAAAATCACGTTTGACACAGCTTATAATGATAAGTTGAAACAATCACTTTCTGTAAAAATAAACAAATAAATAACAATCACACTAGGAAGTGTATCCAAAGGAGAATAGGAAAAAATTGAAAAAGCTTAGCACAACATTAAAGTCGCAGCAAATAATGATAAGCTAACTTCTAAGACCAGACCAGCCATGGGAATACGAAGAGGTTACAGTATCTGTAATGTAACATGTGAAGGCATTGTTATTCCCAAGAGTTGCTGCTCCGCACACCTTCTGCCCTCATTTGATATCTCAGCTATTCGACTGCAGTCCTTAGGACCGTAGAACCAATGTTTTTCACAGGTTCCGAAAGTCGGCGATTTGTAACGAGAATCAACAATCATCTTCCGGAGGGAAATTGCATTTTCAAGGAAGTAGTTGACTAGTTCCATCTCAATTGAATGGCCACGATATCCAGATATCTCAACCACTCTAAGATGCGGAACAGTGCAATTAACGAAATCGTCCTCTAACCTTCCGGGGGTCGTTATTGTGAATGGGTACATCATCTACAGAAACAAAACATGCTCACTTAGCAACCAAACATGAGCGTGATAAACAATTTCATTTCAATAAGCCAGAAAAGTTAGAAGATCAAGATGTGAGAAGGGTGAAAAGGACGAGCAAAAACATCAAACATAAAAGAACAACTAGTCTCAGAGACTATACCTCTATTGAACACTTCTCCAGGTTTGGTGACGCCCTAAAGAACGAACTAAGCCCAGATATGCTCAAGCCTTCTTCATATAAAAACAACCTTAGAGATAGCTGCTTCAGAGCAAGCAGCTGAGGTAGTTTCCTATCAAACTGGGACGACAAAACAACTCCGTATAAGATGAAGCCAAAATAACTAAATATAACTAAGTAGTAATCATAGAGTTAAACCAAGCAAAGAAAAGTAGTCCAGTATATAATGCATTGAACATACCTCTCTAGCCAGCCAAGAATCCAGGATTAAGGTCAGAACCTCCAGCTTTGAGAAGCTGTTTGAAAGGAAGCGACCAAAATCTTCAAGAGTGTAAAATGTAGAGAGGATCTCAATATGAGCGAGCTTGGGGACATTATTCTTGATTACTACTGTTCGTGGCGTCGCAATCTTAAGAGAGATAAGATTAACATTGCTTACAGTGAGGGATTTCAATGGACAAAAGTGAATTTCCAAGTTTTGTAATGCAAGAGACGGACGACAAACTTGCAAAGTTGTTAAAACCTTAGAGTAATGCACAACCAAACTTTCAAGATATTTGCAGTCGCGCAGAAGGAATTCAAGAGTGGCCCCAGAGACCGAGACACGTGCCAACATCAATTCTTTAAGAGAGTTCCAACCTCTTTGTTCCAAAAGTGCACAAGAAAAAATATATATGCCAGGGACGAATTGAGCAGTGTCTGACACATTCACTTCCAACTTTTGAACTCTCTTGTCAAAGGCATACTGAAGCCACTTATTCAATTCTGCCTGAAAGGAATCATCCAAAGCACAATGAATCGTGAACTTGTTCAAAACCAAGGTCCGATGGGTTTGTAGCACCTTATTCACCAAGTTAACAAACTTGGGCCTTCCCCTTAATATTTCGTCCACGTACTCATCAACAGTTAACATCTCGAAAGATGTACTGAGTGCATCAAACTCAAGATCATCCGTATAAGTCCACACGTTCTTCCATCTTTTCGACAGAACACTTGTTCTTCCAGCTTCCGTGAGCGTCAAAAACGATAAAACACGACAAAGCATTTCATCTGGAAGCTGACTTATCCGATCTTCATGTACATGCTGCTTAGTTGTGCACGGCAAATGTGTTACCTAATCAACAATGTAATATGACATTGAAAAGGAAAAATCATCATCTACAAAAAGACCTAGGCAAACAAAAATACTCCAATAACACAATCAGCAAGATGCATACCTCTCTAGTCTGCTTAGGATGCAGACATAAAGAAAGGACCCGGAGCTTTGAAAAGCAGTGCAAGAGCCGGCGAATAACATCCTCCACACTATAACCGTTAAAGAGGATACCAATATGGATGAGCCGGGGCACGTTCTCAAGCAGTAGCTCTCTTGGCACCCCAATCTTAAGTGAGATTAGAGTAACAAAGCTCATAATGAGGGTATCCAAGAGAAAAAAGTTAATCCCCGAGCATTGTAGTGCAAGAGATGGACGCCTGACTTCCGAACTTGTTAAATCTCCAGAGTGATGCACAAAGAAACTTTCAGGAGTGCCACCAGAGACTAAGACACGTATCAAAATCAATTCTTTGAGAGAATTCCAAATTCTCGGTTCCAAAAGAGCAGAACGGAAAATATAACACATCGAGTGAAAGAAGCTGGGTTGCCATATGACGGGTTCACTTCCAGCCTTTGAACTCTCCTGTCAAAGGTGTATTGAAGCCACTTATTCAATTCCTCCTGAATGAAACAATTCCGATAGTTATCCAAAACCAAGGTGCGATGGGACTGTAGGACCTTATTTACACAGTTGCCAAACTCGGGCCTTTCCCTTATTATTTGGTACAGGCACTCTGCGGCAGTTACCATCTCGCATAATGTAGTGAATGCATTAAAACCAAGAGGAACATAAGTCCGCGCATGCGTCCATGTTTTCAATTCCTCTTGAATGGAATTACCCCGATCAGGATGCTTATCCAAAACCAAGGTCTGGAGGGAAGGCACGACCTTACTCACATAGTCAACAAACTCAGGCCTTTCCGTTATTATTATCTGGTACAGGCGCTCCCCCACAGTTACCGTCTCGCATAATGTAAGGAATGCGTGAAAATCAACATCCGGAACATAAGCCTGCACATGCTTCCTTGTTTTCGACAGAATACTTTGTTTATATGTACACCGTCTCAAGTGTGTTACCTTAAACATATATAAATTGAACATGACTATAGGAAGAGTTGCGGGGCAAAATTAATATCAAAATCACTAAGAAAGCAAAAGACAGCAAGCTCCTCAGAAAGATTGAAACTTTATGCTTCAATTTCTCTGAATTTATTCATTCGAGGAGGGGTGGATGCAAAATCAGACAGGAGGGAAACAAATGACAGCAAAATGAACAACATTCGCAACAAAATTGGACCTTTGTTGCGCTCAGTGGGTATAGCGTCCGACTTGCTTATATTATTTTCTTGTTTGGGATTTCACATTTAGTACGATTTGTACTCAAAATGAAAATCCCAAACTACGCACGTCGGAGGGAGTATCAAATAACAAACACCCATCATCAATAAATCAACCAAGTTACCTTCTGATGTCGATAATTCCACACCTCCATACCTTCATTCGCCTTCCCCATCACATTCAGCTCCGTGTCCATCTGTAATCTAGTCTGTACCTTAAAGTTCAGATCTTTATTATCTTTCCTACTACTAAAAGTTCAGATCTTTATTATCTTTGCTACTACTAAAACAACGACAACAACAACAATTATTTATTCATCCTCTACAATCAAGTTCAAATCTTTATTAATCCTCTAATCGAGGACTGTCGGAAACCGACTTATTTACACTGATTGACCGACACTGCCGGCAACCGGCTTATTCCACCCGACCGATATCTGTCGAAAACCGAGTTATTTAATTCGATATAATCTCAGGCCATAATAAACGAAATTACAGCCTTATTGGGTGGAAGGATTTGACTTTGTAATGGAATTTTCGATGTCTGGAACAGAACTTCATCCGGGGGGTGTGGGGGAGGTAAAAGGGTGCTGGGGGAGTAACACGGGAGCCGGGAGGAGATGGGAGAAACAAAAAGAATTAAACTAGGTTCTTTATTTCATTACTAGGTTATTATGGACTCGTGCTTTCGCACGGATATTTAAAAGGACTAATTTTTTTTTTTTGGTAAACAGATTTAAATTATAATTTTAATTCCCAATCTCAACTAAGTTATCCCTATTCTTATAAAAGAACGGATCCTAAAAATATTATAATGATAAAGCAATATTTTGATTGGTTAAGAGACTCCTGATGACATCAGCATTTTTTAAAAGCGCTAAAACAACATTAAATAAATACAACATTTCCAAAAAAAAAAGTGTTTATTTTTAAAGCCACCAAGATTACTATATGAAGTCACCACTTTCAAATTTGGACCATTTTACCCTTGTCATTTTTTCAAATCAAATAACTTGACTAAAATAACTCGAATAATAAATTTTCATAAATTTAATGACCTAAAAACTAGATCAACTAATTATAAAAAAAAATCTAAAATTTTAAAAATTTTAAAAAATTTTGAAAATTAAAAAAAAAAAACCGACCGACCGGGCTGTTCACCTGTCCCGAGTTAACCCGGGACGGGCAAGGAACTCGTCCACTTGTTCATCTGAACGAGTTCCTTGCCCGTCTCGAGTTAACCCGGGATGAGCAAGGAACTCGTTCGGGTGAACAAGGTTTGTGTAAAGTTAGTTAAAAAGTTAGTTAGTAATAAGGAATGGAGGTAATATTAGTTAAAAAGCTTTCACCAACCTAATTATTGTTGTACAAAATGGTTCTGGTTTTGGTGAAATATTCAGTTCTTCTGATCTTAGTTTTTCGATAACTCTTAGGGAGACTCAAGAATGAATTTGCCTACGGTTTTTGAAGACCGAAACTACGGTTTCTGTTCCGACTTCCGAAACTTCAAAGCGGGAAGACCTTTTGTTTTGAATCTTATTTTAGGCCCTTCCAACTTGTGAGTGTTTGAATTCCTTTTTTTTTTTTTTTACTGAATTTTATGTGAATATGTGAATATGAACAATTTGATTTACCTCTGCTTGTTAGCCGAAAAAAAGTATTAATTGAAATTGCAATTAGGTTTTGGCAATGCAGATTGTGTTCTCTCATGAGTGATGAGTTCTTACAGATTAGGTTTTTTTTTTCCCTTTTTACCTTGAACGATTTGATTTACATCTGCTTGTTAGCTGGGAAAATGAATTAATTGAAATTGCAATTATGATTTGGCAATATTCTCTGATTTTTATTTTCCTCATATATGTTACATCTTTTCTTCTACTAATTTTTCTTTAGATATATTCTATGTATTTATTAGCTGCATGTTTTATCTTAATTTTTTGGTGAATACTTTAACTGGAAAAGGTGCACCTAAATTCCTGAATCGACAGTTTACTATGGCAATCTTTATGAATCATGTAGTTGAGGGTTGAGGGTTAAAGGCTTCATTGTCGCTGGCAGAATTTGCTAACTATCTTTCGTGAAATATGTTTTTAGTTGTTACTTGTGAGGGCGAAGATTGTACTGAATCTTGATGAGAATTTGGCATTGTAAATGTTATGGTTTTCTTTATTCTAAGGTAATTTGATTGTGTGGAGCTCCATAGGGTTTATATACCTCTTCTATAAATTTTATCTTGTTAAACTACTGTGAAACAACATCTTTCATGACTTTACATTTCATGGATGCTAATGAAACTCAATAATTCACAAAAGGACTTGTGTTGGGAACCATTAAGGTTTGTTCTTTTCTAGGATGCAACTTGCCCTCAAGGTTTGTTCTTTTCTCTTTTCATTTGGTGTTGGGAACCATTGACTAGGCTTTTTGGCAGCCATATGTTTAAGGCGGTGGCTGCAAGGAACCAAAGTCTTTGGCAAGAATGACCGTAACTACCATTGCATTACGAGAGTTCAGAAAAATTCCAGAAGATCATAGACCTGATTCCGTAACTTTACTCTGCAGGTGAGATCTTTGTGAAAACTCCACCCCTTTGTGTTCTGTTATGCTTTACTAGATTTCTATGGTTAAATTTGTTGACATAATTACGATTAGAGGGAATTAGGTATAGATTCCCAAAAATATTACACAGGGGCATTATGTCGCCAAGGTACATGCCTGCCCTCTTGCTTATTTAACTATAACTCTGAAGCTTGTCCATTTCTGTTCAAGTTATTTTAGGATCTGTGCTTAATTTCTCTCGATAAACACAAAGCTTAAGAGTGACGTTTCTGATGATATACGATTTAACCTCTTAATCCCGTGCATGCATTTTCTGTAAGTTTGGCTGACTGTAGCTAGAATAGGCTAAAATATTTTTTAGACAAGAAGCTGCATAATTGTTTGGGACGCATGGCAGTGCAGATGTTGGCTTCCAGGTTTATTAAAGAAAATATGAGACTGGAACAGTTCACTATGTTATTTTGCATACTTGATCTTAGTAATACTTGGGGAACTGATACCATATTTCCTGCACTACATACCATGATGCACACTACGGTAGAAAATCTCAATAATGATCCATATTTAGAACTTCTAATGATTAGACAGATCTCTTTGTTGATGTCTTCTTTTCACTTCGGATCATTAGATGAAAATTTTTGTTCGTCTCTTTTTTAGAACTCTTAGACGGAATACCCACCCTATTATTTCAGTATTTGAATTCGACGAATGAGATTGATCAATTGGGCAAGAATCACATCGCTTCGTGAAATATCATATTTAATAATTATCATAAACTAGCAGTTTCAAAAAAATTTCATGTATTTTTGATTGTCGTATGCGGACCATTGAAGTGAATATTGTTTCTGTGACATAATGACAACCCCTTATCTACTACTGCTTAGGGGAGTACTTTTTGTCAATCTTTTCTTCATCACTGATTCATTATGAAAATGGGGCTGTTTTTCTTCATCTCATGTAGTACAGATACTATTGGAATTGTTGCAACGATGTAGGCGAGACAGGTGGGTCCTGACTTGATGTTATCTCCTTGCTTAATTTTGAAGGTTTTAAACTTCTCTTGGCAGTTACAGTTGATGGTGTGGATTTGGATCAAGGCAGTGTTGTTGATTACTTTATAGTTAGCGTTGGGTCACACTGTGGCAAAAAATACTCCCTCCGTCTCATAATTATTGTCTAGTTTTACTAAAATGAAAGATTTCATTTTTTTTTCTTTTAATTTTTATTTTTTGGGTTCTATGGCATTATTCATTCCTTCTTCGAAAATCAGAAACCCACGAAGAGATATTTCTTCATCACAAAAACTAAACAGAGCAAGCAAGAAATTAGAGAAACCATTACTACTGGAATTCTACCTTAACAAATACTTCTTCAATGTTCAAACAAAAGCAATCATAATTGGCACAAAATCCAATCAAACACATGAACGAATATGGAAAACATAGACAATAAAACAAAGACTGAAGCGTTACATTCCAAAAACCCAAAAGTAAAAAATCTTCAAGTGAGAATTTGATGAGTTTGACTTGTAGTCGAAATCAGCCGACCGAGTTCTTGAACAAACTGGAAATAAACGCAAATCAAGTAGTACAAATTTTATTAAAAAAAAACGTGATCTTGGGGCAAGAGAGGAAGAAAAAAGAAGGGAAAATTTGGTTCAAGGCAGATCAAACAACTAATTAAGGGAAAGAATAAAAGCGGGAAGTGCTCCTAGAGAAGCAAATTGAGGTTTTCTTCTTCGTTTCTTTGTTCTTCTAATTTGGAGGAATCGCTAGTGAGCAACGGATAATTTCACCAAAGAATCGGAACCCCTGCAAATTAAATTGATAGATGAAGCACGGCTGAATGTTCGGTTTGGATGAAAATTAGATCGGGGTCTAGAGTGGAGGTGGAGGTAGAGATGGCGGAGGAGATGGAGGAGCAACGGCGGCTATGGTGGAAAAGAAGGAAAGTCTCGACAGGATTTATTGGGAGTGAAAAGAGAGAGATGTTAATTAATCTATACCCAAAAGGTCCCAATAGGACCCAAACCCAAACCCAATATTTATCCGTCCATAATTGACACCTACCTGTATGTGCCCAATAAAATATGGGCGAATTTACCCACCCATTTAATAAGGGTATCATTGGGATCCCAATGGGTTTGGGTATTTTTGCCAGCTATACTTGAAACATATTTGTTCTAGATTCATAAATTTGATGCTTTGTCTTGAATTTTGATAGGCACAATGTGTAAGTTCAGTTTCGTGTAATTAATTATTCTGGCTCTGTGCGAGGTTTGCAGGTTCCAAATTTGCGAACAGTCTGCATGAAACTTGTAGTACTGATCTTTTGTCACGTAATACAAATTTACCATTTACCAAAAAAAAAAAAAAAAAACCCAATCCTGGAAGTTGGAAAACTTTTATCGTCGGTGGATGTTATATTCAGATGGCTACCATCTTTTATTTGCTACTATGTGAAGCCACAGTCTTCATTCTAGAGCAGAAAACAAGATCATTACCCATTTCAATTGCAAAGAAATAATCTGGACAAGTACAGCTACATAATTGTTTCATAATGGATTAATTTGTTCAAACAACTAATTACCACCTCTAATTCATTCTTTTCATTTATTAGTTTGTTACCTTAAATTAACTAATATTGAAGAAGTGCGCAGTTATAAATCAAATCCTTAATATAAACTTCAATAAAAAGATAAACTATTTTACATTTTCTCGTCAATTAATAGGGTCAAAGATGAAAGCTTTAAGTAATATGGACCATAATATATTCTTCAAAAAGAATGGAGTAAAATGATTGGAGTAAGAACAAAGTCAAAGATGAATGGACGTCATGATATTCTCTACTTAAAAAATAATTTTGTATTTTAAAAACTTATATTGAATACAGTAAAAAAACTGGTCGTGCAACGTGCGACAAAGAACAACCTAGTAATACATAACAAATTCAAAATGTTGATAATGTGCATATAATTCACCTATTTTTTATATCCCTTCATGCGAGATTTCGACAATATTTGAGTACAAATATGCTATTTATGTTATTTTATTTTTAATTGTAGAAATTGTACTTAAATGAATGAATTGTTGAAGTATT